ATTAAAGGCTCTGGGAGAGCCGCCGTGTGGGTCTCTGTCTGGATGTGGAAAGGGGACCTCGCCCCAGGCTGCAGCCTAATGCCCTAAGCCCAACCCAAGGAGCCCTTGGTTCTGCCTCAGGATGCTGGCTGGAAACGGTGTCACCTTGCTCCCAAAGCCCCCTCCCTGCTGGGAAAGAGCCAACACCCCCTGCAGTTCTCCCAGTACAAGGAAGAACACTGGTCCCCCAGGAGCAGGGACACGAGCGCACACATTTAAGCGTGGGCTCCTCACCTAGCACTGGGTGCCTGGCACCAGTGTCCATCTGCCCCAGGAGGAGCCGGATCAGCTGCCTGCAAGATGCAGGGAGCCAGGGCACCGGAGTCAGGGCTCTGCTAGCACCAACGGTGCCAGAGGCTCTGGTTTCCCAGCAAAGCCGCATCCTCGTGGAGGCTGAGATCTCCCTGACCAGTTGCAGCAGCATGGCTGACAGCTACACTGCTCCCAAAGCCAACAGAGAGGTCAGCCTGGCCCCACGTCACGGGCTGTCCCAAATCGCATCGTCCCTGCCAAGAGCACAGGGCTGGCGCCAAACATCCCGTCATCGGCAAGCACGAGGCGTCCAGCGCTGGGGGCCCGGACAGCATCCAGCTCCCTATGCAACGCCTCTGGCCAAGGGGAACAGCGGCCTTTCTGCCTTAAACTTGAGCCACCTCAGGGACGGGTCCTGTGTGCTGGAGATGGCTCCCAAGGACAAAATCGCTCCAAGGGAGAGCAACATCCATCCAGGCAGATTTTCCCTGACCAACACACCCCACCTGGAGTGAAACAGCAACTCCAAAGCTGTCGTGGGAGAGCAGGAAGCTGTAGGACCTGCATGTGGATATCCTGCCACCCAAGGCAGCTCCCCACCTCCAATGTCTCTGAGTGCAGGATGCTCTTCCCTCCCCTCCAAGCAGAGTGGGGGAGCTCTGGCTCCCCTGCCTTCATGCTGCTCCCCATCCTCTCCCCACAATCCCTCAGAGCTGGCAGGGGGAACGTGCAACCACACGCATCCAAGTGGCTTCTCTCGCAGCCAGCGCAGCAGGGCCCCACTCGCCACCAGGGTTTCCGAGCGCCTCCGCACAAGCAGCGTGAAATCACGCTTGCCGGGAACAATTACTCGCCACAGCCATGAGCACCGCAGGAGGGAGAGGGGGGAAGATGCTGGACAAGGCAGCAGGGGCGAGAGGGAGGTTTTGGTAATGCTCAGGGGCTTAAATGTGTTGGATCCCTGCTGAGGACCATGCCATGAGCCACAGCTCCTGGTGCATGATGCAGAGGATAGTGCTGGCTGATGGCAACCAGTGTGCCAGAGCAGACACCGCGCCGGTCCGGACCACGAAGGCTTCAAGGTTTCCAGATGCCGAGTCAAACTGCAAACCAGTCCTCTGAGATATCCCTCTACCCCCTCCTCAGGAAGCCTGCTCAGCTCCCAGGCCTCCGAAACCAGACCGAGCTCAACGCAAAACCGCCTCCTCCGCATCAACGCATCCACGGGACGAGAGCCACGGTCGCTCTGTCGCGCACGTACCTTGGCACTGGGTATCCTTCATGGTCGGCTCGTATCCAGCAGCACACGTACATGCTCCCACAGGTACCATCCACTCGCCATCGCCGTTGCAGTACAGCTTCAGGGGTACAGACACCTCCACCGCGTTGGGGATGCAGGTGCCCGGTGCGATGACCAGAGAGGTAGGCTCAGCCCCCGTTAAAGTCTCCGGGAAGATAGCAAAGCCAGCAATGGTGTTGGAGCATTTCTTGTAGAAAGCCCGGACAGAGATGAGGGACATGCAGGCTCCCAGGTCCTGGAAGGCGAGGTAAAAGCCATTCTTGGATAGCGGGCCAAAGCTGCGCACCTTGGTGTTCACGCGGCCAGACTCCAGCTTGGAGAAGCTCTCATCTGGGGCAATTGTATCCACTTTGATATAGGGGTTCTCCATCCAGAAAGGGCTGTTTGCAGAGGCAGAATCCGTATCTGACTCATAATAGAAGAGGTTGAAGGTCTCTTTGCAGGAGCCGGGGATGTTGGGAATGCTGTTGCAGTCCCGCACGGTGAACTTGAGCTCCACGTAGACGCGCTGGACGTCCTGGCGCTGGATGAACTTGGTGCGAAGCCAGTTGTTCTGGTTGGCCTCCCGCACATTGCACACCTGGTACGTGCGGATGGGGTTCATGGCCTCGTCATACCCGCTGACTTCTTCCCACTGCGAGCGAGAGCAGAGCGGGTTAGACCCCCAGCCAGGCAGGTCAGTCCCATGGACACACTGCAAAGGGCATGGGGTGGGGGGGGAGACCAGGCAACAGGGAAGAGCAGCAGCTGCACCTCCACCCATCCCAACCCTCCTGGTCATCAAGGTGACTAAGAGCAACCCGGGACAGGGACCACGGTGCTCCCACTCCACCAGCCTGGAGTCAGGAGATGGTTTCACAAGGCGAGGATAAGCATGGGAGGGAAGGGGGAAGATGTAGCCAGCTCCGTGAAGGCGCTGGCAAGCAGCCCGATCCCCGTGGGGCTGGGGCCAGCCGTGCCCTTTGGAGGTCAGGACCAGTGGCTGGCTCCAGACTTACCCCCGTCTCCGGATGAGTTGTCCATGCCAACTCAGAGGTCACCCACTTCGTGTCCATCAGAGTCTCTGGAGAAAGAGAGAGGAGAGAAAGAAGTAATTGGAGATGAAGGCCAAGATTAGAGGGAAAAAACCCAGGAGGAGTGGGGGAGAGGAGAGCTGAGCCTGACATTTCTGCGGAAAACAGCAACTTGGGGGGTGAGACGTGGTGGGAGGAGGGGGAGCGGTGCAGACAGACTCCAGATTTCTCTCCTCTCGTCAGGAGAACAGGAAGAGCGAGGCGTCCCCGGAGAGCTGCGCTGGAGCAGGGAAGCAGCAGGATGAAGAACTGGCCAGGTGGCGAGGAGGGATGGGAACGGGCTGCCA